GTATAAGTTACATAAAAATGCACAATATTCATGTATATATTTACGTATATGCATGTATATGAAAAGAAATCTCAGTATATACCTGCACCAACATTTATTGATGAAATCTAGAGGATACAACGGTCGAAACCTTGTGATAATAACAAAGATGAGAAAAATAATCTAAATAAGGATAACAGCGCCGCCCAGAAATTCAGACATAAAATGAACATATATGTAAGGATCAGTGATGTGTATTCTTAAGAAACAATTGCTTACCTACAAAAGTTCAATAGTACACAATTTAAAATTATCTTTATAAAGATAAATATATCATTTATTTCAGTTGTATCATACAGCACTTTAGAAAAAAAGTCAATTTATGCCTATGGTCGTGAAAAGTTGAAACTGATAACGTTAGCCTTTAACAAAAAAATGGACGCCTGATACGCAAAATTCGTCTTGCTGTAATCTCTTCCCAGACACAATCTATGTTAAATTTGATAAATAAAAAAAACCAGAGTCAAGTTGTACGTTGACCGTCTAGCAATTAGTTCAGTGGTTCCCAAACTTTTTTTTTCTATGGGCAGCATTTTTGGTATGAAAATTTTGCTCGCGCCTCACAGAGACAGGTTAAAGGGAGATAACTGCGGATTCGAAATCAGAACATTATCATTGATAACTCTCTCTTCCAATTTGCGGATCCTATTTACAATATGTTTAATACTTGATATAATGCAAAAATATTACAATGATCAAATCGATCAATAATTATTTAGAACTATTTATACTGGACTCATGCATGCAATTAAAAGTAATCCATAATAATATTTTAAACTTGGAAATCATATCTATTTTTAGCATGTGAATTTGAAACTGTTTCTAAATCTTTGATTGACTTTTAATCATTCCGCCTCACCTGCTATCCTCTTCCGCTGCACTTATGAGGCGCGCTGCACCATTTGGGAACCGCTGAGTTAGTTTCATCTGATGTTGGTTCAGTAGAAAACAAATTCTTATAGATAAGTTACTGAAATAGGTTAAAAAGTATAAATTGAGGTATATAATATTACTACTTATTATTTATATAGTAGATTAAGATAAATTATTCATTTTTATAATATACTGACTCTAGTATATATTTTCCGGAAAGATCACTTCTAAGTATATTCATGGAAACACGTGTACACGATTACAATACACATATCGTATCACACACATGACAGCTACCGTAATTCCCAATGTATAATACGCCCTCATCCATAATACGCACCCCTAAAATTGTGCTGAAAGTGTGGGAAAATGCTTCTACTCACACATAATACGCACTTCTTGTTTGGTAATCAAACCCTATAAATTGTACCTCTCCAATTTTATTGCGTCCAGTGTTTCCAACTCTTATTAAAAATGGTTTTAAACATAGAATAATATTCTAATTTAGTTTTATGATAATTCTTATTTCATTTTACATTTGTAAATATTGCTAGGTACATATGATTTTATTTGACATCCTTATGGGGTTGCAATCGCCGAATATTTAAATCAAATTGTTTTATTTTGTGGTGAGTAATCATTTCGTAACTGAAATAGACCTATGAAATGGCAATTTTTTAAAAGATTTTTGTAGCTCCGCACCCCTAATTTTGCTTATTATTTTTTTAGAAAAAAATGCGTATTATACATGGGGAATTACGGTATTTATATAGTAATAACCACAATTTAAATCGATTATGAAAACCTTCGTAAGGTTTAATGATGCATAAATGTTATTTATGAACTGAGTAACGTACATGTCTGCATCTGGACATGCCACTTGATCCTGTCGAAAGATTGTTTGACATCCGTGTCTCGTTTGTGGATGAGACCTTCATAAGCAATCTTTAAAGACAATACAGTAATAGTAACAAATCTTCCTATAGCTAAATGCGCTCAAGTCATTATAACAGCAATCAGATTTCTTTAAAATTAATAATATTAATTCTTTCTTCTTCTAAATGTCATATCACTTCAGGTCATGGGTGATCATAGCTATCCTCAACTTCCTATCCTTTGTAACTCTTAATAAGGTTTACTTTCTTACCATCCCTTCCACAATCTGTTCTGTCATTCATTTACACAAGCTTGTAAGGTAGGTGATTTACTTATCTCCTTTGTCCCTCAATATGTCCTGTAAGTGTCAAATTTTTCAAGCCTTCTTTTCTCCTTATGTGTCCTTGCCATTTCATCTGTCTCTTTTTTATTCTATCCATAAGCGTCTTTTTTGTTTTGCAGTTTACTTAAAACTTGCTCATTGCTCACATGTTCCATCCATGATGTTGTCAGTAACCTTCTGTTGGAACAAATTTCTGTTGCTTCCCAGTTTCCTTTTCATATTTTCGTTGTTTATAAATAAATTTTCCTGTTTCTTAATACTTTGTTTACCTTTTGGAAAACATCTTTCACTATACCAATGCGCCTTCAGATTTCAGTGTCACATTTTCCGTTATCTGTTAAAACAATTCCCAAATATTTAAATTTTAGTATTTAACTCATTTCGGCATCTCCAGTTCGTAGCTCGGATGATGAGCAGCTCATCTGACTAACAACTATATATTATGTTTTCTTTCAATTGATACTTAGTCCTTTCTTCTCGCTTTCCTTTACTACTTTTTCTAAACGTTCCTGCAGTTTTCTTTCTGTGTTTGCCAACAAAATGGAGCCATTTGCATATCTTATGTTATGACTGTAACCAACGATTCTAAATCCTGATAAGCCATCTAGTTATCTTCGGACTAACTCACTGTAAAAGTTGAATAAATCCGGTGAGGAGACATATCATTGTCTTACATCTCTTTCTAGCGTTGTATAGTTTGAGGGACCATTCATTTAAACAAGCAAATAGCAATGGCAAAAAATTGCTAAAGATGCATCCAACAATACACTTACTCACAGCCTTATCCATTTTAATAATTTCTTCCATACATTTTCTTCCAAAAAAATTATTCCTTCATGTTTTATTTTTGGTCTTATTCGTATCCTGTTAAAACCTTCTTCTTCTTCATCTTCTTCTTCTTCTTCTTTTTCTTCTTCTTCTTCTCATTATTATTATTATTATTATTATTATTATTCCCTTCTTCTTCTTCTTCCTCTTCTTCTTATTATTATCATCCCCCTCTTCTTCTTCTTTTTCTTCTTCTTCTCTTCTTCTTCTTCTTATTATTATTATATACCCCTTTTTCTTCCTTCTCCTCTTTCTTCTTCTTTTTCTCGTCCTCTTTCTTCTTCACTTCCTCCCTAAACTCATCACTTCATCTCCCTCCGCCCATTTTTCTGTCTTGCCGACATAGCTCTTGTCTTTTAGTTCCTGTCGTTGACACTTCCGTATTGTTTTACTTGTTTTATGAGAGTGAAAATATCAATGTAAGATACTTATTATCGTGTTCTTGCGCAGTGTCATTTGTGGCCGTGTTGTATTTAAAGATTAAATGAATTATTGACTAAACAAGACAAGAAGAATCAACAAACAATGCAAAAAAAGAGCTGGCAAGGCAATGAAGGAAATAATAAAAGAGAACAATGAAAGAATGAGTAGTTATCTTCTCGTTTGTTTGAAACCGTTACAGGGACCAAATATGGTTTCCATTATTGGAGAACGCGCTGTATGCTTAACGAGACTAGCACGCGTTTTAGTCGTTTATAGAACAATGAAGTGACAACGCCGTTAGTAATAAAATAAGATACAATTGATTAAAAGGAAGTGGCTCTGCACATGCGCAATCCACTTTTGACCAGATTTATCACTCATAGCCGCTAACTGATGTGTTTTTGCTATGAAAAGTGGGTGTTTATGACTAGGAAAAAGGCAGCCTGATTTTGCTAAATTTAATTCATCGATTTAATTTTAAATCTATGATTTTCTTCTTTTACATTTTTTCTTCTACATTTATGTACCATGTCCCTCAGGACGTGAACGATCATGGCTCTCCACAATATCCTATACTTGGTCGCTCTAAACCATGTTTACTCCCTTACTATGCGATTTGCAGGTCGGGAACACTAGAATCAGGCAGACGCGGATGTTTAAATATCTGGGAAGCATTTTGACAGAGGATGGTAAGTGCGACACTAAGATCCGTAGACGCATTGTGATGAATAAGGGCACATTTTAAAAGCTGGGCAGAGTATTGCGAAACAGGAGGATTTCTTCGGTAAGAAGGAAAAGGATACTGAGCTGTTACGTGAAATCTGTCCTCCTTTACGGCAGTGAATGTTGGACGGTCTCCTCAAAGATGAAGAAGAGAGTCGAGGCGACGGAGATGTGCTTCTACAGAAATGACGTATCTTTCCATTTTTGCCTCCATTTTTTCTTTAGACTCCTTTCTTGCTCACATTTTACGTTCACATCCTTCTGTAGAAGCCCATCTCTGCCTCTTCAAGTGTTTTGCGCATTTATTACGAAATTGTCGAGCTTTCATTGCCATATACTGCTCCGAACAACTCGCCAATTTATTTTATGATAAGAAATAGCGAGAGGATTCTTGAGGCAGATCTTTTTTTCTTTTGATAAAAATGGCTTATTAGGGAAATTTAAAAACAAATCGCTACCTCTTTTCGAAAGTTAAAGGGGGTGCATAATGCCAGAATTAAAAATAATAAATCTTTTTTATCACAAATTATCTACCATCGCCTGAGAAAGTACAATCATAGTATTGAAACACGAAAACTTTTGTATAGCGATGTAAAACGTTTTTATTAAAATCTATTATAATAAAATATTATAATAATATTTTGCTTTACTTTGTATTGAGCACTTTTTAAAAAAAAAGTAAATGCTACGAACTTTTTATTTTTACTCCATCTATTCTTTTCTTATTTTTGTATATATATATATATATATATATATATATATATATATATATATATATATATATATATATATATATTTGCGCGTAAGTGAATATAACGAACACGACTGGAATTAGAACATGGTTCTCCAATTTCCATTTCAAGTCATTATCCATTACACCACCCACACATCCAAGCTTACAACCCCTGGTATTCCTAAGTGTTAACCCATCAAGGTACTGACCAGACTCAAAGTTTCTTAACTTCGGTGATCGTAAGTGAACCGGTGTTTCAACGTGATATTACTGTAAGAAGAGCTGGTTTTAATAAGAAAAATACCCCCTCTATTAGGCACCTATGATTATATATTGCAGTACCCTGATGCCTAATACAATGGGGGAGGGGAGGTCTTAATAATTGTGCTTTCGGAGTTTTCCTCGGGATACGATAACAGAGGGGCATCCAATTAGGATGGAAGATCCCACTCTATAGTAATGGTCAACTAGGCTCATTAACTATTACCCAATTACTAAGTTAGGTTGATTGATTTTACATTTCTATTCTTGTTGGGCCATTCAATGCTAAATTTCGTAAGGGTCACACAATGAGGTTCGAATTCACTACTCACTAGTAATGGTCACCCTGATTAGCCTTGCTATTCATTGCCCAATACCACGTTAGGTTCGTTGATTTTCAACATGTCAATTTTTATCGCGCTATTTAATATCCAGTTTTGTATGAAGCAGCCAGTAGGATCGAACTGACTACTCTGTAATAATAGTCAGCCATACTAGTCTCGCTATTATGCAAGGTAGAGTCGCCCTAAAATATTTCTTTACACTCAATTGATATTTGCCGACATGATAGATCTATTAAGAACTTATTTTTTAAAGGAATATTAAAATATGCAAAGATTATTTATGAAATATTTTTTACTCTTGAGAAAAAAAGTTGGGCCTGACTTGAATCATGTAAAAGTTCTACACTGTAATACAAAGACGTGCACTATAATACAAATTAGTTATAAGACTGGGAAAAAGTAAAGATGGCTGTGCCTAGAAATAATGAGAAAAATAAAAAGAGGAAGACGAAAAACAGAAAAGATAAGAAACAAAACAAAAGTCTATATCCGTGTATACACGGGAGATAGAAAAATATAAAGAAAATCAAGATAGGCATACAAAATATATAAATGAAATCTTTTTAAAAATTATCTGCTATTGAAAAAGACAATAAGAAGTTGTTGTTTTTTATCATTTTACCCTAAGCAAGGCAGGAATACCACTAGTACGCAGGAGGTTACAGGGAGTGAAAGTGAGAGAAAAGACTCAGTATAGAGAGTGAAATGATAAAAGATGAACGGGATTCAAGAAGATAGAAGATGGCGATTATATTTATCAGAGAAGCAAGTAAAATTAAGGGAGTCCCATAGGCGGGAATTGCGAGAAAATAAACTGTTAGAGTAGAAGTCGTGGTTACATTTAGCTATTTCAACTGTAAACGGGTCGAGAGATAATCCAAAGTTAAAAAGAACTAATAGCGAAAAATAGATGAATAGACATGAAATCTTTACAAATGACAATAAAGAGGACCGAGTAAGTGAATGAAACAAAAAAAAGACAGCAAATTTTCAAAAGAGACAATGAAATCATCATCATCATCCCCTTGACTTTTGTAATCGTAGCGGGGGCGAATGCAGAAGCCACAATGAATCTCCTGTACGACGGTCTATCGAAGGCAGCCATCAGCAATTCTGGTATAGTTATACTTGTCCATTGTTTGACATTGTTCAACCAGTTTTTGCGTCGGCGTCCTCTCCAACGTCCGCCTTCAACTGTGCCTTGCATGATGGTCATGCACGGGCTGTCGTGCCTTGTAACATGTCCAAACCACGCCATTTTTCTCCTTTTGACAGTGGCAAGAAGAGGTTCCTGGTGGCCCACAAAACTTTCAACACTTTTCCATACAAACTTATTGGTTTTACGTTCCCAATAGAAAATGCCAAAGAGTTTTCTCATGCATTTGTTCTCAAACGATGGAAAGAAAGACTTAAACATGAATAAAAGAAATTACAAGATATTTTTAGGAAAAGAAAATGAAGAAAAGAAGGACCGAATAATACAAAAACCCAACATATCTTCGGAAGAGACGATTAATAAAAGAACATAAAATATAATTTAAAAAAAAAAACGACATAAAATCTCCGGAAGAGACAATGGAGAGAAGGATTTGTTGAACAAATCGTAAAAAAAAAAAAGTAGAAACTTTCCAGAGAGAAGCTGAAAAGAAGGACTGAATGAATGAATAAAAGAAATAGACGAATTCAGAGAAAAAGACAGATAAATTGGGTGTATGAATAAAACTTAAAAACTTCAGTACATATGGAGGTGGGGCCAAAAAGTGAGTATTTACTGGCTGATGAAATGCATCGCCAAATTAGACAATTGAAAGAACGCAAACTAAGGTAGTTATCGATATATTCTGAAGGAGAATGAAAGCTTCGAATCAGTATTCGAATAGCAACAACGAGTGGAAATATAGGAAAAGAATAAAGACGTGTGGACGGGTATTGATGTTAACCTGTTGTGAGAGGCGGATGTCCAACCAAACTACACGCTACTAAGTTCCAACCCCGTCCACCAAGCCTTGAAAATTGTACTCAGCATTTACCCTAACCGCTGGTTGGTTTTCTCGTGGACATTTCAATACATAAGAATACTAGTTAATGTCAGCACAGCAGTCCTGCCATAGTCATGATATGGCCGGCTGCGCACATGCGGACATGCTGCACCGCAACGGAAGTAGTTCTTGGCGGGGTTTTCTTTCCAATGAAGAAAAGAAAGAAAGAAAGAAAGAAAGAAAGAAAGAAAGAAAGAAAGAAAGAAAAAGTAGATAAAACTGAAGTACTGGCGAGATTTTTCGTTTATGAGGAAAAAAGCAAATGGAAAAGAAATGTGTCTCTCATGTACTTTTTTCTTTTCTAAGAGGGAAGACGAAAAAGATAAATAAATCAAAGAAAAGTAAATAAATGAACAACTGTAGAAAAGAGAAAAGGAAAGTGTCAAAAGAGGAAAAAAAGAGACAAAAACAGTGAATAAATAAAAATGGGAGAATTTATAAAGAACGAAAAGGCTAAAGAAGAATGGCTACATTGAAAGAAGGAGAATGATGAAAAAGGGAAGAATTCAAAGAATAAATGATAATGTATAGAATTATGTATCGAATTGAGGGAACAAAATTTAAAAAGTGAAATGGATTTTGTGGATTTAAAGAGAAAAAACAAAAACAGACGAAAGTTAAGAAAGAAACAAACAAACAAAAACGAAAAAGAAAGAGCGAAATGAAAACGAAGAGCATAAAAAGGGTATATAGAAGATAAGAAAGAGGGAGAGAAGGAAAAAAGATAGAAAGAAAGAAAGGAAGAAAAAGGATGAACGGAATGACGAAATAGAGAATAAAAATCTATATAGAACATAAGAAAGAAAGAAAGAAAGAAAGAAAGAAAGAAAGAAAGAAAAAAAGAAAAATGAAATGAAGAGGGCCTAAAAAGCTATATAGAACATAAGAAAGAAAGAAAGAAAGAAAGAAAGAAAAAAAAAAAGAAAAATGAAATGAAGAGGGCGTAAAAAGCTATATAGAATATTAGATACCAAGACAGAAAGAAAGATGAAGGAAGAACGGAATGAGAAGAAAGGAAAAAGGGCATAAAAAGCTATACAGAAGATAAGAAAGAAAGAAAGAAAGAAAGAAAGAAAGAAAGAAAGAAAGAACGAAAGGAAGCAAGAGAACATAAAAAGTGATATAGAAGATAAAAAAGAAAGAAACTAGGAAAAGAAGAAAGGTGAAAATAAAATTAAATAAAAGCAAAAAATATAAAAAGAAAAGAAGAACGGAAGAAATAAAGAGTGCATAAAATGTAAATAAAAAGAAAGAAAGAAAGAAAGAAAGAAAGAAGGAAGGAAGGGAGGAAGGAAGGGAGGAAGGAAGGAAGGAAGGAAGAGAGAAAGAAAGAAAAAAGGAGAGAAAGAAACGGATTCATGAAGAGAAATCGAAAGCAGAATAACAGTGAATACCAAAGATGGAATTAATCACAAACACAACGTTGAAATATATAAGCAGATATCCAGCCTTGCGGAGAAGAGCCCAAAGCGACATGTTATGATTGTCATTGTCGATATACGAGCTCACCGGTGATGTCGTTACAGAACAGCGATGACAATACAGAAGTCGACTGAAGAAAGAAAGAAACAAAACAACAACAAAAAAAAAACAAAAGCAGTAAAAAGACTGAATGGAAGAAACCAATGTATTAATGAATGACAAGTAACGAAACAATGTATTAAGAAATGAAGGTATAAAGACGACGACGACTACGACGACGACGACTACGATTACGACGACGACGACGACAAACCGAAAAGAAAAAAGTAAAAGAATTAAGGAATGACTCAACTGAAATAGAAAATGAAAGAAAACTGACGCGACGAAAATTACAACACGAAAAACGTTAAAGAAAACCAGACGGTGAAGATTTATAAGATTTTGGAAGAAGTTTCTCTGTTTAGCTAAACATGGCAACGGAAGGAAGAAGGGAAGGAAGGAAGGAAAGATGGAAGGAAGGAAGGGACAAAGTCACATTTCAGTAGAATGACGAAAGAAAGACACGAGGTCATGTCATGGGGTTTCTTCAATGGGTCTAATTTTCAATGGAGACTCAGCTGAATTCTTTGCCATCTCGAAGACTTCCTCTTGTTCACGGTTCTTATATTTCGATTCAGAGTCGATTCCTTTGCCCTCTTTCACTTTCTTATGGCAAGCCAAAGTCTTTCCTCGTTGCCTGTTGTTATGCACCGCCTGCTGGTTCTACGTTCCTACGTTTCCCGTTCGCTATGCCTTCTGTTAACTTTCTGGGCCAATAGAAGGAATCCATAGAAAGAAAGAAAGAAAGAAAGAAAGAAGGGAGGACGGAAGAAAGAAAGAAAGAAAGAAAGAAAGAAAGAAAGAAAGAAAGAAAGAAAGAAAGAAAGATGTACGCAAAGTTCAAACAAAAAAATGGATTAAGACTGGATAAAAGCTGCAGTAGCGAAAAAAAAGAATTAGTGAAAGAAATCGTGAATATTTGAAAGAAAGAAAGAAAGAAAGAAAGAAAGAAAGAAAGAAAGAAAGAAAGAAAGAGAAAACATAAAGAAGAAAATATATGAATGACGCTGAAATAAAAAAATCACAAATATGTGCAGGAAAGGAACAAACAAAATGTATGAATAGAGGAAGATATAAAGGGAACATTCACGAATATAAAAAAGAAA